TTTTTTAGCTCTTGCTATTGCTGACCATTCAGAAAACATGAAATCCAGACAAATCAAGGAGAAAAAGCGTGTCTTTTCGCAATTATACAGAATGAACGCCAAAGTGGATAGGCTCAATAGTTGAAATTCCCACAACTCCACTCGTCCGAAGCGAGTAAGTACGGAGGTTCTCCGGCTGTGAGGTCCAGAGTCATTTTCTCATAGCATGTTCTGGACGAGCTTTCAAGGACAGGAAAGTAAGGAGGGAAGAAATGAGGGAAGGAAAAAAGGAAGGTTGGCCGATATCCTGAGACCTTGGGGACTGAAGTGCCAGTCTGGAATATTGTGTCAGCGCTAGAGTAGCATGCAACTTTTGAGGCGGGTAAACCACTTACCATTTAAAGTTGGCATGGGTAAGTGGCTCATCTGCCCTGGATGTCCCTTCCTCCTTGAAAATTGGAGGAGTCCAGCCGCTGCGCAGAATTGCAGACAAGCACACCCCAGATACAAATGACTGACTCTAGTCTCTTCGCAAACTGGCTTCAAGACTAGAAGCCAGTTGCAAAGGGTTCAACCCAATCAGTTCAGTCAGTTTAGGGGAGACATTTTCAGGTTTCAAGCCGAGTGCGTCCAAAACCACAATGAGTTCTTGAGACCAGCATAATTCGTTAGCTTGCATATTCGCTGCTTTTTGATTTTTTTAAATGAAGTTTTAGCCCCACATTACAACAGAAGGCGGCGTGACGCAGTGAAATGCCAATCCGTCTAATGGCATGTCAAGTGCACTCCTGACGAGTGTTTCATATCTCACGGCAAAACTTAGGTAATAAGTAGCGGATTTCACTTGCGCATTACACTCGCTGACAAGCAATTTCGAAAATCGGGAAAACACTATCGGCCACCAAGAATGTCCCATTGCTGGAGATGTAAACAAGTAAGGGGGTAAGGTGAACAAGGAAGGTTACAAGTAGTAGTGACTCATACACGACAAGCTTCGATGTAAATGTTTTCGAAAAACGAAAAGTACAAAGGAATTGCAACTGACCTTTTTCCTGTCTCTTGCTGTTTGAGCTGCAATCCTGTTCTTCATTTTTCGCCTGTTCATCTTCTGTTCATGTGTTAGATGATCCAGACATTCACGTTTACGTTGATGTGGTTGCGTATTCTCTCCCAGTAAAACTTCAATCGGATCAGCACTGAGTGGTCTTTTCCGATCGACACTAGCTGGTCGTTTCGTACTGCTTGGAGACTTTTGCTGCATTACTGGAACATTCGTGATAATTCTTGGCGATGGCGCCAATGGGCGAGGAATGGCGATGGTTGGTTGAGCAACCACATCGGCCGGACCAGGTAGAAGGTACGAGGCAGTCATAGCTTGATTACGGTACGATACGGTAGATTAAGTAGCCGTGGGGCTGTGGCCCTCTAGACGATGGTGAAGTCGACCACCTCCCGGACCGCGATCGAGTCGACTAGTACACGTCACCACAACACTGGGCGGACTGCGATTGGTCAATGAACGCGTATCGATCCGCAAAGCTCCGCCCACGAGAGACAACGTCAGCGGAGAGTGTGCAAGCAGCTGGCAGCAATAGAGTTCGAATGGTGAAGAGAGTCCAGACAGACCACCCCGGTGAAGGGTCTGCTTCACGGACGAATAACTGGGCTAAGGTCATCCCTCTTATGGCTTTCATTAGGACATCAGGTTCAGGGCTGTCAAAATTTATGAATTACTGCAATAAAGCTTGTAAATACTTAACAAGAACGTCAGCAAATTCGATGCGCTAAGACTACTACTTTTGGTAATTCGTACCGTTCTGTGAGTGCGCACGCATATTGTCCTGTTTTTTCCCATTCTTTTTCATATTTTTTACATGCAAAAAGTATTTAAACAAATGACAGATAGTAATGTGAAGAAAGGAATGTAGAAAATGCCAAAAAGCGACAACCGTGATTTCTGAATGGAATGGCATCTGCGCCAAATGTGTTAAAAAAAACTGCTCTCGTCAAGGGCAACTGCGAAAGGGAAGCTGAGCTACCCTTTTTTCCTTTCTCACTTCAATGCATTTCGCTTATTCAATTGTTTTCTAAGAAATCATCTAATTTTTAGCAATATTAATAAAAAATGGTTTTGCTCCAACCACCGTTTTATTCTATTTTTTTTTTGCAATGTGGTTCATATTTGTAGACATGTTTGAAGCACTGGTGGTTTTTTGTTATGGGCCAGTATATAAAGTTTATGATAATTCACGACTGTGATGCTGAGACGGAATAGAACCTCTACTATAAATAAGAAAAAAATAAATAATAAAAGAATAAAATAATTAGCACTGTACTGATGAGCACCATATTCCAGTAATGCGTACGGGTTCGCGAACACTCCTTCATGATTTCACTTCGTATTTTATTTGTTACCTATAACCCTTTGATTTTTTACTGTCAAAAGTTTTAACGTTTTCAATTCCTTTCTGTATTTCTAAGTCTTTGTGCTTAGAGCACGCACTGCTTGTACGCACCGAAGATCGAAGCCGGTCATGTCCTGAACCTCTCACTAATTGACGCCACATGCCTCTGCGGCCAAAAAAGTGACGTGTAGAAAGAGACCCGTGATTTTATATTTTGAATTTTTTTAACAAGTCCTACACGTTTTTGTGGATTATTGTTGTTACTTTATTGTGCCATGAATGATCATTTTCCTAGCCGAGGTTCGTATTGCATTTACAGTTTATATTACTGTAAGAATGTCGGGACCTTCCCGTTGCGGTGCCGCGACGAAAGTTGCGTTGCAAGGCGATGTCGCACCGGGGCCTCATTCGTTCGACATGGAAGTAATGTGGCATGCCAAATCAACTAATTAGGAGTAGATGGATTGAGGATTTAGATGCCTGGAGAGTAGACAACTTGATACTCGGATAATGCGTCTTGTCTTCAGTCCATTTGTGATCCCTCTCTTTTCAGCAGCGATATTTGCTGACTATTTTTGTGACTGATTTTACCAAATTTCCGGTATGAGGCTTTTCAGGTTCTCTTTTTAGGGCATAACCACTCTTATCTTGCACCACATGCCATATCAGCCCCGCTACTTGCGTGAACTGCCGCTGAACCTTATCAAGCCAGCATGATAGGAAGGGTGTGCTGGAGGTTCCGGCACGTCGACGTCACTACACAGTTGCCTTAGAAGCAAGCGCTTACTATCCGTGCAGCTAAGGAGAAGGAAGGAGGGGTAGCAGTTCACGTCAAGGCAAATCTCGCACTGGAAAATTCCGAAGTGTTTTCAAAAGGAAAATTGTTTTCCCCACTTTAGAAGTGCAGCTTCAATACGAGGTTGACTTAGTTTCTCGCCTAAGCTTTGAGTGATCAACAAAATTTTAAGGCAGTTACTAGGCTGAGGACCATGCCACCATAGTTCTTGCCCGCTTACACTGGGCACGCCCTCCTGTTGACCGTCTCGGAGAAGAAAGATGCATCAATGAACAGGATACGGTGGTGGATCTAATCCAGCCCATAAGATCAACGTGAACTGTATTTCTTTAAGTCGTGTTACCCTAGGCGACGTGGTCTGGGTGAGCCATTGACACCCTTTGCAAGTTCACGCGAACGTTGGCTTCATGCTTTACCACTTCATCGAGAATATGAAATGACTTAATTGCGCTGAACACCGTACACTTCACATTTGAAATTCATTTTTTATGTGTACGTGGGAACTCGTTGAAAGCAATTTCATTCGTAATGTGGGATTCATCTATTGTATGCTTTTGCGCACACAGTGACGGTGAATAATGGCGCGTTTACTTTGCGGACGTCTGTACCAACGTGTGCCAACGCACTACCTTTGCTTTCTGCGAATCGAAAGTTTTTGTGGACAGTACAGTAATGATCAGCATGCAATGGATGCGGTTTCGGGCATGCCCATCAAGTCCCTGACAGAAAAAGCGCGCCGGCGCATGGCGACAAAAGTACAATACCCGCCGTAATTGTTCGAAAAAAAAAACGAAAAAAGCGCGGATCTACGCTTTTTTCGTTTTTTCGCTGTAACTCAATTTGGGTATCCCTTTCTCATATGGAATCCTATACCGTTAGACTCAGCTCGTCGAGCTCTATGAGTTGGCATCCAAAAAAATTAAAAAAGTTGAAAAATGAACTCTGCTCCTGGTCGAAGTACCTGAGGACACTCGTTAGCGAGCGAGTCTCGCTATAATTGTAACCAGAGGGTAATCGTTGGAAATCAAATCATCCCAGAATTCAAATAGCGTACTGTATGACCTAAGAATTGATTAGAAATCGGATAGTTGAATTTTCTAAATTGTGCTGATCGTAACGGTGTCAATTTTTCTGAAAATGGCAGGTTTTGCGAGATGTCGTTTTCCTACGAGACAGCCTTTTCAGTCTGAAGAATCTCGAGCTCTGGTTCACTTAGAACTACAGAAACACAATGAGCCTAACGCATGGGACCCTGTTCTCCTCAGTATTCGCAAAAGTTAAGAATGAAGTGAAAAGAAGGGTTTTTTAGCTACTTGAAGTGAGCGCATCGCGCGATACTACGGCCAATACTCGAATTGAAGCGTTTTCAAGCAGGATTTTCAGCGCTCTGAGTGGTACCGTAAATTCCATAAAAGAGATACGTCACGGAAGGGCTTGTGTTTTCCAAAAACACGGTGGAAAACAGTGACAGTAGTTGAATTGGTTGCTACTACGGGTTCCAACTTCAAGTCTTCATTTCAGAACAAAAATTGCGCCTTTTCCAACAGAAAGAAAACCACTGTCAAAGTAGAACCATTTGAATCCCTATGAAAAATGTTATCTATTCATATGAGAATCACCTCATAAAGCTTTCTATGACCCGTCCTTGTTTCCACCGGCTACCTGCCCTGTCTGCGGTCAATCGACCTCCTAAGTAGTTATCCCATCGAAGTGTCAGGCCATTGTATTGATCAGTCTTACAATTTCACCCACAGTGGCCTCTTCTGTTATCTATTTCGCATAAAGTTCGTGAGGAGTGGTTCTAGGAAATGTTGCTTTTCATTCAAAACTTGAACTTCATGCAAAATTTCAAAAATTTTGCTCTGAGTTACAAACTCCGTCATCGTTTAAGGGTTTCGTTTTTATGAATAACTCTTGCATAATAGGATAGGGATGAAGCAAGCGCGCGTTTTACAATGCTCGCACTGCTTAAGCAACTGGTTGCGCTATGAGGTACAAAAGAGCATGAAGATTTCTTGAATTCCCAAGGGTTACTCTGAATTCTAATAGAAAGATAGCCATTTTTTTAGATGAGTTGATTTGAACATTTCATTGGACACACCCCATTCAAACAGTGTGAAATCTCATGCACATTCGGCTCAAAGTCTGTTGATGATGTACGAAAAAGGTCCTTAGGTAATGAGCGCAGGCACCGCGGAGGTCGACAGCTGCGATCGGCTGGAGGTCTTCGTTCAAACGACGAACAACTGAAGAAAGCAAGTATAATACTATATTTGTGGGTGGTACGGAAATGGTAGATACTCAGGCTAACTTGCAAAACGCAAAACAATAGCGATTTGGCGATTTCCGCTAATCGAGAATCGTTTGAACAGCAAACTTCGTACACTGCGAGATCGTATTTTTATTTTATTTTTTGTGCACATCCGGTTGCCTTCAAGTATGTACAAGAGCTCAGTTGAACGATAGTAACTTCCATAATCTGGTGGATCATGGGGAGTTACTCAGACACGAATCTATCATGAGGAGTTTGTAACTCGAAGAACAAAATTTTTTGAAATTTTGATGAAAGTTCAAGTTTGAATGAAAAGCAACATTTCCTAGAACCACTCCTCACGAACTTTATGCGAAATAGATAACAGAAGAGGCCACTGTGGGTGAAATTGTAAGACTGATCAATACAATGGCCTGACACTTCGATGGGATAACTACTTAGGAGGTCGATTGACCGCAGACAGGGCAGGTAGCCGGTGGAAACAAGGACGGGTCATAGAAAGCTTTATGAGGTGATTCTCATATGAATAGATAACATTTTTCATAGGGATTCAAATGGTTCTACTTTGACAGTGGTTTTCTTTCTTTGGAAAAGGCGCAATTTTTGTTCTGAAATGAAGACTTGAAGTTGGAACCCGGTAGTAGCAACCAATTCAACTACTGTCACTGTTTTCCACCGTGTTTTTGGAAAACACAAGCCCTTCCGTACGTATCTCTTTTATGGAATTTACGGTACCACTCAGAGCGCTGAAAATCCTGCTTGAAAACGCTTCAATTCGAGTATTGGCCGTAGTATCGCGCGATGCGCTCACTTCAAGTAGCTAAAAAACCCTTCTTTTTCACTTCATTCTTAACTTTTGCGAATACTGAGGAGAACAGGGTCCCATGCGTTAGGCTCAT